TCTACATCTGGGGTATTTTATGTTTAGAGGTAGACGCGGTGCCGCGCGATTCTCGCACAGCGTTTACTTTTAATATCTCATAAAAATGTACGTCAGAAAATTAAATCGGCATCCAGAGAGTTAAAACATAATTTAGATCGTTAACATTGTAAATCCACATTGGATAATAAATTGATACACTAATAAGTGGACTATTGTGAAAACAAATTACTTTTTAGGTGGGGGCACGGATGGCCCAGTCGTCTAAGGTGCCGCGATTCGCTGTGCAGAGTTGCGTCCCTTGGGCACGCCAGAAACCTATGATTGTGGGTTCGAATCCCGGTTTCTAGGTTTGCCAGCACCATACCCGTGCTCGTGGGTTTCACCGAAGTGGTAAATCGGCATCACTTGGGGCTTTCCTCCCACATTAAGCTGACACGCCGCGATATAACTGGAATATTGTTAAAAGCGGCGTTAAACCCAACTCACTCACTCATTGACTCACTCACTCACTCATTTTTTAGTTTACACTGAAGGGGCGGTGGGGTAGCCTGGTGGTTAAAACGTTCTCTTGTCACGTCGAAGACCCAGGTTCGAATCCCAACATGGGTACAATGTCTGAAGCCAATTTATGGTGTCCTCGCCCTGATATTTCTGGACAAAAGCGGCGTAAAACCATATTTACTCACTCACACACTCAACACTGGATGTCATTTTAACCAACCCACTCACACCAAATGGGAGCCGTGAAGATCCGGGGTAGAATAGGTCCTCAGCAACCAATGCTTGCTGTAAAATGTGACTATGCTTGTCGTAAGAGGCGACTAACGGGATCGGGTGGTCAGGCTCGCTGACTTGGTTGATCCATGTCATCGATCCCAAATGCGTGGATCGATGCTCATGATGTCAATCACTGGAATGTCTGGTTCAGACTCGATTACTTACAGACCGCCGTCATATAGCTGGAATATTGCTGAGTGCGGCGTTAAACAACAAACAAACAAACAAACACCAAATGGGCATTTGATGTACTATGCTTCAGATCATGACTACTTGTCAAATGACATTGCTTCTATTTAAGACACACAAAAATTGTATATGCATTTTTGGATTTCATAGAATTATTACCGTAGTGTATGACATTTAAACTTCTATATCAGGATATACAACATTTGACAGCAGATGTCTTCTGAAGTTTACTGAGAAAACAAATAGTGAAATGCTGAAAATTTTTGGGGAATGACATGTAGGCCGAAATTATGCACCCCCATGGGCACCTATAGTGCTCCCCTTTGGCTGATCTGTTTCTTTATGCATATGGGGCTGTCAGGTAGCCTAATGGTTAAAGCGTTCGCTCGTCACGCCGAAGACCCGGGTTCGATTCCCGACATGGGTACAATGTGTGAAGCCCATTTCTGGTGTCCCCCGCCGTGATATTGCTGGAATATTGCTAAAAGCGGCGTAAAACCATACTCACTCACTCACTTTATGCATATGAGTCGGAATTTCTGTTCGAACTGGCAAAGTCAAAACAAGGTAATTTGACCAAGAAGTTTAACTTAAGCTTCAGGTATAGCGATGATCTGATATCGTTCAATAACCATCAAATAGCCAGGTCCCTTTCACTGATTTACCCACCTGAACAAGAAATAAAGGAGACCAGTGAGACCGCCTCATCTGTTTCATACTTAAATCTATGCATCTAGATTCAGAGTGACAAAATACTCGCCACAAGACTGTGACAAGAGGGGTGACTTCATCGTTCCAATAGTCAAACCTCCCTTCATATTTCATAACTTTTGAGATACACAAGATTTCGAAGAGCGTCAGAAGACTCTTCCTGAGCAGACGATTGAGCAAGGTTACAACATACAAGGTCTCAGTAAAGCTTTCAAAAAGTTTTATGGTATACATGTGGACATTAACTGACTATAAAAGTCTAGTTTCCACCCTTGCCGGTTGCAATTATATTATTTGGCTGGATCAACGAGTCTATGCACAGTCCAATCAAAATCGCTGTACGTACAAGACATCCGGTTCCTAAACAAAATGGATTTCAAGTGCAGATTTCGGTCGACTGCAGGATTTGCAAAGCATGTGGACCACCAACTGGGCGTCGAGAGATATTTTGCAAATTCTTTCATGCTTTTAATCAAGGTGCTCACGTGATTTGATGCACATAACGGGGCCCCCATTTTATTTGAAGCAAATGCAAGTGATTGTGAGAGATAGAATCTGATTGGTCATTAGAAGGAACATAGAAGAGACATAACTCGTAATAGCGACTGGTGATGCTACGACCGAGCCTGGAAATTCCAGCCTAGTTCGGCAAGGGTGGAAACTGGACTTTTATAGTCAGTTAACTCCCTTGCCTCGGGAAGATGACACGAGGAGGCCATTTTCAAAATGTTGTCCGATGCAATTCCCTATTTTGACCTCTACCATATGTTCACGAGTACATTTTCAAAAAATTACTTGCCTTTGCATGTGTTTGTGACGGGTGCCGCCACGGTATCATCACTATGGTGATAGTGATTCATAAACCAATGCTCAGTCGGACTCGTACAATCGACTCGTTTTGGCAGAGATGTCTTGTTAATATGGTGATGGTTTAGAGGCTTTTATTTATTATTGTACTGAAATCACGAGTGAGTGAAGATGGTTTTACGCCGCATTCAGCAATATCCCAGAAAATAACGCGTGAACGGACACTGAGGATCATCTCAATGCATTGTACCCCAGTCGATCTCGGATCTAAGACGTGACGAGCAAAAGCTATAAACAGTAGTCAGCCCCACCGACCCTCCTATTTGAGGACAACCAGCTGAATTGTCATATTGTGACTTTAAGTAATACATCGCGGAGGACCCGTGAAGATCCGGGTCAGATTAGGTCTTCAGCAACCCATGCTTGTCGTAAAAGGCGACTATGCTTGTCGCAAGAGGCGACTAATGGCGTCGGGATCTCGCTGACTTGGTTGATGCATGTCATCGTATCCCAATTGCGTGGATCGAAGCTCATGATGTCAATCACTTGATTATCTGGTCCTGACTCGATTATTTACAGATCGGCGTGATATAGCTGGAATATTGCTGGGCGCGCATTAAACAAACAAAAGAAGAAGAAGAAGAAAAACATCTCGGAATGGTGAACTTCAGTACCTTGTGTGAGCAGTGATGGTAGAATACGCGCGTCAACCTCCTGAAGAACAACCTGTTGTTCCTGTTATTGACACACGAGGATATGTTTGTTTTTAATATCAACTAAAACAGATCAAATAAAGAATAGAATGTTCATATTCCCATATAAATACCGGGCTGCTATACCCAGCGACATTCCGACCTGGCCTGTCATAGCTCAAACAATGGCCACCTGGTATTGACAGTATTTGACTCTCATGTCGACGGGAAATTTAATCGCTCCTTGAACTGACAGCGACAAGCTAGAGTACTACAAGTATATCCCTATATAGAGATACATTCCCTTTGATACCAGATCCCACCCTGGGAACCGTATGACACAATCCTACATGCTACGTTTGAAGATATCGGGCTAAAAGGTAAATATAACAACGGATTGATAATATTATTTTAAAACACAAGTTTATACAGAAAAGAGTTAATTGTATAAAAACTTAAAACTTCTAAATTAGTCTTTCATGATACTGTTCAATTCTAATTCGTATTCATTTCAAGAAAGAGGTTTCAAATATCAGTATAACATACCTCAAAATGCAAACCTTAATTCTAGTGTCCATTTTTTACATTGTGGTGGTGATTAATCTGTTCCTGAATTTGCAAGTCAAACGACAGACTGAGCACTGGATCGTTCAGATTCTTTCATTCTAATTCGTATTCATTTCAAGAAAGAGGTATCAAATATCAGTATAACATACCTCAAAATGCAAACCTTAATTCTGGTGTCCATAGTTTACATTGTGGTGGTGACTAAACTGTATTTCTGTATTTGCAAGTCAAACATGACAGATTGAGCACTGGATCGTTCAGATTCTGAAATAGCGTTATATTTCCTTGACATTATTAATCGGAGATCTACAAGTTGATAGTCTTTTATGATGGAATGGGTCATGTGACATGCATGTGAAACAGGAACGGACAACAACTGCAATACAAAGGGATCCGATTCCCTTTTTTTTCTTAAAGGTCAGCGCCAGGAAGCCCAAATACAAATATCACACTCATCGAATTCCGATAGCGGGTCTCGAGAATGTTTCTGCATAATTAACTGTTAAAAACACAACGTTTATCAAATATCCGTATTGTCACTGAATGATTATGTAACGCAGCTTTAGTTGCCTTAAAAAAACCAATCTGTTAATCCAAGTATATGAATAGGATGTCTGGGTAGTATATTACAAAACTGTTACACACCTGCACGTGTGTCACACACCTGTACGTGTGTCACGCTACGAGAGGATGTGATGTATGCAAATACTCTACATTATGATCAACAGTTTCAAGTCGGCGAATGACGCCTATGCGATATCATACGTAAATCTCGCTGAATCACGCAAGAGACGTGAACTTGTGACACAAACGGTCGTACTTTAATCGCTTGTTTAATCAGGAATAAAGGTTGTTTTCATCTGCACTGCACAATTAAGTGGAGCATTTAACATATATCTTCTTCCTACTATCTACTGATCTGATTCGCCGCTAACAAACACGGACAGCCAAGGTTAAACGTCAACCATGACACTTGAACAAGAGGAGATAACCCCGACAGTAGCGCTAGCGATTAATGCTTTTAACAGATGTAAAGGTACGAAGATAAGTAGACCTGGTGTGACTAAAATTGCGTGATTTAAACCTACCAACAACGGTCTACCTCTCTGCTCTACTGATTAATATTACCAAGGCAGAGCCTGTTCTGTTCACGACTAAACAGTTGCCATTTAAAGACACAGCTTACCAAAATGGAGGCAGCTGAAAAATAATTACCTTGGATACCTTGTGAAATTGAAGGATTTTCTCTATATTTTTCATCCCCAGAGAGCACCTTTGTGACTCACACTTCCTGCAGACATCCAGGGTTGTGAAGTTTTTTCCCCCTACGGTTCCCGTTTGAGGAGGGTTTACGCCTGGTTTACTAAGGGAAGAAATCAAAGATGGAGGATCTGCGACGAGTAATGAGATTGCACACCATCGCCGAGGAGGGCCACACCTCAAACAACGGGGGGTGAGTTTCATTCACACATTTCAGATCATGCAGATCAGGATAAGTCCAAACATGAACAAATTATCGCTATAAAATTAAACTTCGTTTAGTCGGTTCGATGCTCATGATGTCAATCACTCGATTGTCTGTCCAGACTTGATTACTTACAGACCGCCGTCAATTAGCTGGAGTGCGGTGTTAAACAACAAACGAATTAATTATCAACTATCAGGGAATATGATGCTCATGATGTCAATCACCGAAATGTCTGGTCAAGACTCGAAGTTTATAGACCGCCGTCATGTAGCTGGAATAGTGCTGAGTGAGGTGTTAGGAGGGAAACAAACCCTTAACTCGGGAACATCTGTCACCATGAACTAGAAACGTTATACTTTCTTCAAGACAAGTGAAGTGATTGTATTAGTTCATTGTCAAAAGGCATTCTGTCGCGACCACAATCTAATATCGACTTAAATGTTACATCTGGACAAAGGAGTTAGAGTTGACCAGGGTTTGGTGTCAGTAACTGATGTCAGACATTGGTTTTTGCTATTTTGTTGTTTGTTCGTTCTATTCTATGTTGTGTGCAATGTATTAACACTTCTGTATGTGATTGTTTTCTTGTGAACAAATACAAGGGCTGTCTGCGGACAGAATGAATGTCTTTAAAATGATTTGATCTTTCAGTCAACAATGTGTGTTGTGTCTGGCGCAATTGTACAGCAATGCCCATCTTGTCAGAACGATTACACTATTATCATCCATTCTTCATCCGGTCACCTCCGTGGTCTTGTGGTAGAGCGTCCGCCCGGTGAGCGGAAGGTCCGGGTTCGATCCCCGGCCGCGTCATACCAAAAGACGTTAAAACACGGTACTTGTTGTTACCCTGTCTCTCACTCGGCATTCAGGGCTAAAACAAGGCTCGGAGTCAGTATACTGTGTCTGAGTGGGGTATTCATGTTAAACCGCAGCCTGGTATCTCAGTGGGCTAGCACTATAAACGGCATCAGTCCGTACTGGTACAATCAGCCACACACACACACACGTGCATGCACGTCGCTATATACAGTAAACTACGGTTATAACGAACTCAAAGGACCACTAATTTTAGTTCTTTATAACCGTAGTACGTTATAAGCATATACACAACATAACTACAGCAAATAGTCGGGACCAAAAAAAGAAAGTTCGTTATATCCGTCAGTTCGTTATAAGCGTGTTCGTTATAACCGTAGTTTACTGTATTTCATAGGACCATGACAAAAGCAAAAGCTGTGTGTGTGTAGTCTGTTCTCTTCGTTGTCACTAGAAACCTTGAGTTGTTCACACTACGACAATAGGTGCGGAATACACATAAAGGGGAGCGTCAGTCATGACCTTAATGTTATCGAAAAAATAGAAGAAATGGATATACAGTAAACTACGGTTATAACGAACTCAAAGGGACTACTAATTTTAGTTCGTTATAACCGTAATTCGTTATAAGCATATACACTAAACTACGGTTATAACGAACACGTTTATAACGAACTAACAGATATAACGAACTAACTTTTTAGTCCCGACTATTTGCTATAGTTATACTGTATATATGCTTTTGACGAATTACGGTTATAACGAACTAAAATTAGTAGTCCCTTTGAGTTCGTTATAACCGTAGTTTACTGTATACAGTATAACTACAGCAAATAGTCGGGACTAAAAAGTTAGTTCGTTATATCCATTAGTTCGTTATAAGCGTGTTCGTTATAACCGTAGTTTACTGTGAATGATTTAATAGAAAACAAATATTAAGCTAAACAATACAAAATTGTATCAAAGTTTCCTTGTCACCCAAGAGGACAATAACATGTAGCAACTGTTTATATGAACCTTGCAAATAAGCAAATATTGTATGTATTGTATTTGTGATTAAGAAAAAAGGTTAAAATGGTTTGGTATTCTACGAGTGAGAGTTGTTTTTCGAACAATAAAACACTGCAGGGAGATTAAACCATCGTGCAATAAAACACTGCAGGGAGAATAAACCATGAGGGGCTGGAGTGTTCTCCCTGCAGTGTTTTATTGTACGATAAACAACGACAACGAGACCTCTATTTCCTATATGAGATATCAACATTTTTTTACAGCCTCTTTAAGGATAATGATAAAATGTACAATATTTAAAAAATATTTCCCCGTATTTAAAAAATGTTATGTTATGAACAGGTGGGCATTTCCCGCATATTCTCACAATCCTCACGTCAGTTACCTGCACCTTTCCTCCCAGTACCGATTGTCATATCTCTCCCGCTCTTTCGGATGAATCGTTCGGCCATCGCGTTTATCTGATTTGAAACACACATTGTATCCCACTGAACTGGAACATGGTTTAAAGCATGTGCCTTGTATTGCGTAGAAATAGAATATTGTTTGATGTGTTGATAATGGTTCGAAACACACATTGTATACCAGTGAACTAGAACATGGTTTAAAGCATGTGCCTTGTATTGCGTAGAAATAGAATATTGTTTGATGTGTTGATAATGGTTTGAAACACACATTGTATACCACTGAACTGGAACATGGTTTAAAGCATGTACCTTGTATTGCGTAGAAATAGAATATTGTTTGATGTGAAGAATATGGTTTGAAACATACATTGTCTACCCTTGAACTAGAACATGGTTTAAAGCATGTACCTTGTATTGCGTAGAAAAAGAATATTGTTTGATGTGAAGAATATGGTTTGAAACATACATTGTCTACCCTTGAACTAGAACATGGTTTAAAGCATGTACCTTGTATTGCGTAGAAATAGAATATTGTTTGATGTGTTGATAATGGTTTGAAACACACATTGTATACCCTTGAACTAGAACATGGTTTAAAGCATGTACCTTGTATTGCGTAGAAATAGAACGTTCTTTATGCGGGGATAATGGTTTGAAACACACATTGTATACCCTTGAACTAGAACATGGTTTAAAGCATGTACCTTGTATTGCGTAGAAATAGAATATTGTTTGATGTGTTGATAATGGTTTGAAACACACATTGTATACCCTTGAACTAGAACATGGTTTAAAGCATGTACCTTGTATCGCGTAGAAATAGAATATTGTTTGATGTGTTGATAATGGTTTGAAACACACATTGTATACCAGTGAACTAGAACATGGTTTAAAGCATGTACCTTGTATTGCGTAGAAATAGAATATTGTTTGATGTGTTGATAATGGTTTGAAACACACATTGTATACCCTTGAACTAGAACATGGTTTAAAGCATGTACCTTGTATTGCGTAGAAATAGAATATTGTTTGATGTGAAGAATATGGTTTGAAACACACATTGTATACCCTTGAACTAGAACATGGTTTAAAGCATGTACCTTGTATTGCGTAGAAATAGAATATTGTTTGATGTGAAGAATATGGTTTGAAACACACATTGTATACCAGTGAACTAGAACATGGTTTAAAGCATGTACCTTGTATCGCGTAGAAATAGAATATTGTTTGATGTGTTGATAATGGTTTGAAACACACATTGTATACCCTTGAACTAGAACATGGTTTAAAGCATGTACCTTGTATTGCGTAGAAATAGAATATTGTTTGATGTGAAGAATATGGTTTGAAACACACATTGTCTACCCTTGAACTAGAACATGGTTTAAAGCATGTACCTTGTATTGCGTAGAAATAGAATATTGTTTGATGTGAAGAATATGGTTTGAAACACACATTGTATACCAGTGAACTAGAACATGGTTTAAAGCATGTACCTTGTATCGCGTAGAAATAGAATATTGTTTGATGTGTTGATAATGGTTTGAAACACACATTGTATACCCTTGAACTAGAACATGGTTTAAAGCATGTACCTTGTATTGCGTAGAAATAGAATATTGTTTGATGTGTTGATAATGGTTTGAAACACACATTGTATACCCTTGAACTAGAACATGGTTTAAAGCATGTACCTTGTATCGCGTAGAAATAGAATATTGTTTGATGTGTTGATAATGGTTTGAAACACACATTGTATACCCTTGAACTAGAACATGGTTTAAAGCATGTACCTTGTATTGCGTAGAAATAGAATATTGTTTGATGTGTTGATAATGGTTTGAAACACACATTGTATACCAGTGAACTAGAACATGGTTTAAAGCATGTACCTTGTATTGCGTAGAAATAGAATATTGTTTGATGTGAAGAATATGGTTTGAAACACACATTGTCTACCCTTGAACTAGAACATGGTTTAAAGCATGTACCTTGTATTGCGTAGAAATAGAATATTGTTTGATGTGAAGAATATGGTTTGAAACACACATTGTATACCCTTGAACTAGAACATGGTTTAAAGCATGTACCTTGTATCGCGTAGAAATAGAATATTGTTTGATGTGAAGAATATGGTTTGAAACACACATTGTATACCCTTGAACTAGAACATGGTTTAAAGCATGTACCTTGTATTGCGTAGAAATAGAATATTGTTTGATGTGTTGATAATGGTTTGAAACACACATTGTATACCCTTGAACTAGAACATGGTTTAAAGCATGTACCTTGTATTGCGTAGAAATAGAATATTGTTTGATGTGAAGAATATGGTTTGAAACACACATTGTATACCCTTGAACTAGAACATGGTTTAAAGCATGTACCTTGTATCGCGTAGAAATAGAATTTTGTTTGATGTGTTGATAATGGTTCGAAACACAAATGGTATACCAGTGAACTAGAACATGGTTTAAAGCATGTACCTTGTATTGCGTAGAAATAGAACGTTCTTTATGCGGGGATAATGGTTCGAAACACACATTGTATACCAGTGAACTAGAACATGGTTTAAAGCATGTACCTTGTATCGCGTAGAAATAGAATATTGTTTGATGTGAAGAATATGGTTTGAAACACACATTGTATACCCTTGAACTAGAACATGGTTTAAAGCATGTACCTTGTATTGCGTAGAAATAGAACGTTCTTTATGCGGGGATAATGGTTCGAAACACACATTGTATA